TTGGCTACGGGAGCAAACGTTTCAGTGTAATCTATTTCATATACTTGTGTGTACCCATTTGCCACTAATCTAGTTTTGAATCTCTCAATTGTGTCATCTGCATTAAATTTCACAATATACACCCATCGGCATCCTACTGGTTTCTTTCCAACTAGACAATCTACTAATTCTCATGTTTTATTTCTTTTCAAGGATCTCATCTCCTCATTCATAGCATCCTTCCACCTGGAGTCAGCTAAAGCTTCCTGCACACTGTTAGGAATAGATACAGTAGATAATTGACTTATAAATGCGATATTTGAGTTAGACAAATTGTGGTTACAAACATAATTACTCATAGGGTATCTTGTCTTACTGGTGAGGTCAGGATCATAAGTAGGCTTAGGGATACCTCTAGTGACACGATCTGGCAGAATTCTTTTTTCTGTATTAGGTTCTTGAGTGGATGATTGGTGTGGTATATCATTAGCATCAACAGACAAATTTCTGATCTCAACATGCTCAAAATCTTCCTCATTATGTGGTTGTTGATCATAACATTGTTGCATACTTTCATCATCTCTTGATACAACTTTGTAACTTTCTTTCTCCAATTTGATCTCAATATCAATTTCTTGAGGAACAAAAGTTTGAACTTCATCATAATTCTCCCCCTGAATTTCAGACTCGGGGGAAAAATATATCAAGGTTTCATGAAAAACTACATCTATAGTAGTAAACATTTGCTTGGTTTGCGGATTGTAGCACCGATATCCTTTCTAGTGATCCGCATAGCCAAGGAACACACACCTTTCAGCTCTAGGAGACAACTTACTTCTCTGATGCTTGTGTAAGTGAACATAAGCAACAAAACCAAAAATTTTATGTGTTAGTTCAGCAATTTTAGGACTTACTACTACATCTGTAAGTGATTGAAGAGGTGTTTTATACTCAAGAGACCTGGACGGTGTTCGGTTGATAGTGTATACTGCATATGTGAGAGCTTCTCCCCAATATATTGCTGGCATGTGAGCTCCAATTAGTGCAGCTCGGACCACCTCCAATAGATGACGGTTCTTTCGTTCTGTCACCCCATTCTGTTGTGGAGTACTTGGACAAGATCTTTGATGAAAAATTCCTTTGGCTACTAAAAAATGTTGAAGTTCTGATTGCATATATTCTCCTCCGTTGTCACTGCGCAGTACCTGAATTTGTGCTTTGTACTGGGTCTCAATCATTTTGCAGAATTTCTGAAATAGTCCTCCAACTTCACTTTTAGACTTCATCAAACATAACCAAGTCATTCGAGTACAACCATCAATAAACGTTACAAACCACGTTGAGCCACCCAACGTTGTAACCTTAGATGGACCCCATACATCAGAGTGAATGATCATAAAAGGAAGAGAACTTTTATTTAAAATTAAAGGAAAATGTGTTTTATGACTCTTTGCAAGCTCACAAACATCACAATAAAAAGTTGAAGTGTCTACTTGGTCAAATACATTTGAAAATAATTTCTTTATGTAACCAAAAGATGCATGTCCTAGACGCTTATGCCATAACCAGATATCCTCGCCTTTTCTTACTTCTTGAGACCCTTTTGTTGCTAGCACTTGACCAAGTCTCTTTGAATCTTTTTCTGTCAGGTCCAGGTAATACAACCTTCCTCGCCTAGTACCACAACCAATCGTCTTCCTCGTTTGAATATCCTTAAAAACACAAGAGTCAGGCCCAAAAATTACAAGACATAAAAGAGCTTTGGTTATTTGCGAGACTAACAATAGATTATATTTAAGAGAAGGAACAACAAGGACAGTATCAAGATTCAAATTGTTTGAAATAGAGACAGTTCCTTCTCCAATAATAGTGGATTTACTACCATTGGCTATGGATATACTTTTTTGTGAGGAAGGTTTAAGATTTTTAATTTGTCTAACATCAAATGTTACATGATCAGAACATGCAGAGTCAATTATCCATGCATTATTCAGAACGGTAGATGTGCTTATTAAAGCCTTACCATTAGAATCATCACTACCTGCGATTGTAGCAAGCATCATGCCTTTATCGTCCTCTTTGTCAATGGTAGTTACAACAATAACAGTTGGATTTCTTTTTGAATTCTTCTTCGATGCTCGACTGTGATCCCACCACTTGGGGGTATCCTATGATTTCATAGCATCGTTCCTTGGTGTGTCCATCCTTATTACACTGAGTACACTTGTAGTTACCTTTTTCAAAATCTTTTGATTACTTCGATTTGCTGTGGTGATTTGCTGGCTGTTTCTTTGTCATCATAGCTGTGGAATCAGAAACCATATCTTCTGTTTTCAACGTTGTTCGACGGACTGTCTCTCTCCGGATCAATGCATAGCATTCTTCTAAATCAGGTGTCACTTCTTTGTGCAAGATTTCTCCACGAACTTGCTTAAAATCATCATCTAGTCCAGCAAGGAATCTATGCAGCCTTAATCTTTTAATGGACTTCTGATATGACTTCACATCATCAGGGTCCTTCATGACTACTTTGTCACGATTGTCCAATTCCCTAAAAATCTCAACCAACTCCCCATAATATTCAGTTAAGGTTCTATTATTTTGTTTTGTAGTGAATGCCCTTTGATTCAGGGAAAACACCTGTAGCTCATCACTTCCATTATAAAATGTCTTTGACAAAGCATTCCAAATATCGAGGGCAGTGGGTAAGCGAATATACCTTTTCATAATTTTTGGCTTCATGGACATCAATAGCCATCTTTTCACTTTTTGGTTTTCAGCATACCATTTTTCATATCCCTCATCGTTCTCTGTTGGAGGTTTCACCTTCTCACGGATATAGGACAATTTTTCCCTCTCTGCAATGTGCATCTCCATTAGTTGTGACCATACGTCATAATTGGATTCATTTAGGATAATGTCTACGTTGAAGACACCTTCATATTGAACAACCATAGGAATTAGTTTTTTTGTCATCTCTCCAGTTAAGATCTCCAAGGATTTTGAAAGAAAAAGAAAAAAGTTATAAGTTCTGGTACCAAATTGAAAAACATAGAATTCATTCTATAATTTTTATTCATATTATTTTTGTACACATATACTATGATCTTATAGTATTTTACTCTAACAAATCAGGACTAGATATAAGAAGTTCTGATTATACAATATTTTGTACCGCTATACAAACCTATAATTTAGCTAATCAAATATTTTTATCCCAACATATACTTGTGACTTATGCAAGGAAAAAGAAGACGTAATAGATTACGTATAAGTTCAATAAAAAGTTATTCACCCTTAAATCAAGAAAAATGTTGGCATTATTAATCCTCTATTTGGAGAGTATTATAGCAATCAATTGGCATACATATACAATGTCATGTTTCTTTTATTTTTATTTAGTCAACAACCATATATTCCATCTACTAGTTAGACACAACGTTGACTAATATTTAGCAAATGTATTTTTTTTATTTGAGAATTGCAAAAATATATTATTGAATCACCTTTAGGAAGGATGACTATGTTATATAATGATATATATGGAATTAAATTTAATAAGTTTAACTTTTGTCAGTACAATTTAATCCGTTCAATTGTTGTAATGTATTGACAATTTTTGCAAATACGAAAAGTATTTTTGATAAATATAGTTTAGAATTTGATAATAAGCAAAAAAATGTTGAAAAAGAAAAAAATGTGAAATAAAATATAAAACATATTTTTTCTTTTAGATATGAAAAGGAAAATCATTGTTTATTTAAACAATAATAAACAAATTAAAATTAAATATTTATTTATTTACAAGGTTACTCATATAATTATTAGTTTATTTTTATAAATAAAATAATTTTTTAAAATTAAATTTGTTATATTAATTCTTTTAATGATATATACTTTGATATATAATTATAAAATATTTTTATTAAAAAAATGTATTTTTTATTAATATTATAATTTAAATTAATAAAATAATATCACATTATAAAAATAAAAATTATGTAATTATTTATATTATAATTTTTATAATTTTTAGTATTCAACCAATCCACTTAAATTGTTTACTTATTCAATTTCTATTAATAATTTCAATTTCAAAATAACTTGGATAAAATCTTTCAAAAGTTTTTTTTTCTATCATTCTAAATAAGATCATCTATATTTTCTATGGAATGCCTTAATTTATAATTTTTTCATTGGCTTTCGTATTATAAGAATGATTAATTATTTGTTTGAGGAGAAATAATTTTATAAAATACTATTTTTTTATTTTACATTTATATTTATATATTAATAGAAATAAAATATGGATATTATTATGACAATTGATAAAGAAAGTGATATTTTTTCTTTTAAAAAAAATAATTTTTTTTCAAAAAAATTTATTATTATTTTTTTATTTTTCCTATAAATAAATAGATGTTTAAAAAGATGATTATTTCTTAAATTTTTAATAAAAATCTAAATTTTTTCGGAAACTAATATTTAAATAAGGTATATATATAATATGATGGGAAATATATTCATTTATTTTATATATATATATATATATATATATATATATATATAATTGTTTTAGTATATATTGTTTAGATTATTTTATTTTTTTACTTAAAATATTCAAAGATTTTAGTTAATTTTTATTGAGTGAAAAAAAAATGTGTCTAAACCTAACCTTAAATGTTTATTTTATTGAGTTAATTTATTCTTGATCTAATTTTATTCGATCCCTAATGATGTAATATTAGATGTTTTTAAATAATTTGATTCTCATAAGACAAGATTTATGATAATGATCTTTTATTATAAGTAGAATAGTGGGAGGATATGATGTATGAAATGAAAATTTATTATGATCTACATAGTACTAAATTCACATATCAACTTAAGTTCAATCAAAATTCGAACACTACAGTCTTTTAGCCTCAAGGAAAAGTGTTAAGCTTACAAAATAATGCTAGTCATTATCGGAGCATCAAGGTGCGTGATTATACCATAATGAGACTAATATTGATTCTTACAGTCGTATAGCCCTTTTGACCTAAGACACAAATACTTGGCTTTAGGTACCTTAATCCTTAACTTGTTTAAAGGGACCTTATATAAACCTGACTCTGAAAATGTTATCCAGAGGATACCAAACGACGCATTACTCTTTGGGTGGGAATTTACGTGACATGTGTCACCCATTGGAAGTTATAATAATAAAAACGTCACATCCATTGCTCTAATTCTAAATACATTTTCTCTAATATCTCTTCTTCGTTTCCCTGTGTCTCGTCTTTTTCTTATCTAACCTATGTTTAAAATGCTCTTTGTGAGAGAGAACAATTTGGTGCTTGTTTTCTCTCTCTATTCTTTGTCCCTTATGTATACTTGCTTCCCTCGTTCCTCTGTTTTCCTTGGTTGTCACTATTTATATTATCCTTTTTTAAAAAGAAATTCTCTTGTAGTGTATCACTATGTTTCATGGTATCCCAACTAGGTTAGCACATCATGAAAACATCCTTCATTTGCTTGATACAAAAGACCATATATTTAACAAAACAATAAAAAACAACAAAATACAAAGACCATGGGGGACCATATCAAAACCCATGGAACCCAAGATCATTGAATAAATATATTATGAAAGACTAAAGCTATTATGAAAAAAAAAATCTAATCCTAGAAGATATATAATCACACCACTCAAACTAAAATTTATTATGAATGTCCATGTTTGCCATAATATTCACACATTTGTTCTCTTACCTATAAATGTGAGATATATGAACATGCACAAAACTACAAAGAGCCATATTTTTCCTCCATGAACCAAGAAACCACATTTGAATCATTAAAAGCCTTCAAAACAATAGTAGAATTTATTTTAATCCATATCCTATTCCAACTCTTACTGTAAGCAATCTTCAAGCATAGCATAGCAGTAAGTAAGCTCCACATAAAGAGCATAATGGATTCCCAAGTAGGCAGCAAATCCACCCATATACTCACCTATACACTCTTTTAATATACTTGCACTAGTAGCAACCTTTAGAGATCCTTTAGCAACACCATCAATATTACATTTAACCATAAAAGCATTAGGTAATTTCCATTGCACAATTAAAATTTTCTCAATACTAAATGATGTTGGGAAATTTAAGTGTGAGTCCCATATTTAGTAAGAATGAGGAAGTTGAGTAACATATAAGAAAGAAAGACTTATAACATAATACCTTAAGGTTTTGGGTTGAAGGTGATGTTAATTCCTTATGTGGGTTGGACTCATGTCTCATTGGTGTTATCTCTCCTGATGAATTCCCCCTCGAAAAAGCCAATAGTGGTGTAAGAGTCTATAGTTAGTGTGGTTATCGACACTTTGAAAGTGGTCCTTATACCAAAAGTCTTCCTGACAGTGGGTCAAGTAAGTGCATGATGAATGACGGTACATAAAAGGGCTACTAGTGAGCTCGAGAGGGATGTACTAATGTGAAGGAACTCACATTTGAGGGGGAGATTGTTGGGGGAAATTCAAGTGTGACTTTAAGTCCCACATTGAGTAAGAATAAGAAATTGAAAAACATAGGCTCATAACCTAATGCCTTAAAGTTTTTGGTTGAAGGTGGTGTCAATCCCTTATGTGGATTGGACTCATGTCTCATTGGTGTTGTCTCTCCCTAATGAATTCATCCTCGAAATGTTAGGAATTAGAGTAATTGCATAAGAACTCACAACTAAAATAAAAAATGAGAAAAAAGAAACAAAATCGACAATAAGCAATAATAGAATTTTACTACCAGGAGAAATTACAATACCCTCTTTAAATATAAGGAAAATAATAATAATAATATTCTCTCTCAGAAATTAGAGAACTTAACTACTATGCAATGCACTAGTAGAAAGGAAAAGAAAGAGATTTGGTGTGATTTACAAGATAGACAGTGTGCTCCTTTTATAATAGGAAAGGTAAGCACCAACATATAATTTCTCTGATATGGAAATTCTTTTCTCACATTTTCACAATCTCCCACTTGAAGATTTTGATTAAATTAATCAAATATTCACAATACATTATTACTACCTTCTATGTTGTTATTGCAATAGACCATCACTAAGATCGTCTTTATGTAAACTTGTTACTGCTTTGTCTTGAAATACAAGGCATGATTCCTTGCAAAACACTTTAATTGTCATAATACACAATAATTTGTTGTTGCTTATGCCCGAGTTCCTCCATTATTCTCTTAATCTAAATAGTTTTCTTACATGTCTGAGTGGTTGCCATGTACTCCTGTGATAGACAGAGCTACAACATCCTATAACTTAGATAACCAGTTATTGTCTCTCTAACAAAGGTAAACTCATCAAGATCACCTGTAAAACATGAACAAACATAACATCTAACAACTAGTTTTGATCCTCCGAAACATAATACAACATCCAAGATTCCTTTGATAAGGATTCTCTTGATAATTCTCTACAACAATTTGTCATTAATCTACTAACCACTCTCACTACTTGTGCAATGTCTGGTCTTGTATTGATAATGATATTCATAAGTCTTCCCATTGTCGATGCATATAGTACTCGAGACATTTTCATCCTCCCTACTTTATTGCTAGGACTCATACTTGAGAATAACTTGATAGAAACTGGGGTAAAAACTAGTTTACACTCGGTGAATTTGTATCCCTTAAATCTTGTTTGTTGGTCCCTAGTTTTTCGTATCAGACTTCCTAACCAATTGTGCCTTCAAAACCTGGATTAAAATTTGTTGGAGCCTACCACCAATATGTCATCCACATACAATGACAAAATGATAAAATCATTCTCATAAAATCTATTGTAATAGGTATAATAGTCTGAACTTAGTCTGTTGTAATCAAGACTAATAATGAAGAATCAAATCTCTTGTACTAACAGATAGACACCCAGTTTAAACCGTACAAAGTGTTAGAATTATAGGTTGAGATCAAGAGGGGGGTGAATTGATCTTTACAAATTTTTTCGCACTTTACAAATACAAATTAACAATTTTAAAGATTAAGAAATCTGATCAAGTATTGAACCAGGAAAACCAAACTGGATTGAATAAAGTTCAAGCAGAATTAAAGAAAGTGATGGAAGAGGAAAAGAAACATCAAGAATTATACTAGTTCACCCAAACCCCTGGGCTACTACATCCATTTCTCAACCAAATTCTAGTGAAGTTCCACTAGATTGAATAGTTTGATTTACAGAATCAAATTACAGACAATCCACCCTGCACCAAGAACCAAATTTCAGTTTTTGAACCCAACTTGCAACCAAACTCCAGTTGCAGAACCAAACCTGCACCAAGAACCAAATTCCAGTTCTTGAACCTGCACCAAGAACTAAATATTATTTCTTGAATCCAACCTGCAACCAAATTCCAGTTGCAAAACCAATGCCCAATCTTCCAGACACCAAGACAATACAAAATAGAATTGAAAGAATGAAGAAACTAGAACAATCAAACCAGATTATGTAGATGCAAAAATCCCATTGTAGAATGAGTTTCTTCACAAGCAAGAATACAAAAATGCCTCAAGAAATAACTTCAAAAATTGCTTGAATGATTTCTAAAAGATGTTGTTTTTCAAACGTTGAAGCAAATTTGTTTATATAGAGATTTCTCTAACAAACTGGTTTAATTAATCGGTTAATTCGTGTTTTAATCGATTAAAAAAGTCTTGTTTCTAACTGTTTTAACTGATGAAAATATCATTTAATCAATTAAAATATTCTATAACACTTTCCAAAAATATTTTAACTGATAAAAATGTAGTTTAATCAATTAAAACAGTTACACAAAAATTCTTAAGTGATTTTAATCGATTAATTTGTATTTTAATCGATTAAAATACTACCTGAACATGTTTACACCTTCATTTATTTATTACACTTTGTTTATTAAGTAAGGATTATGGCTACCCCCGAGTTTTATGAGAAAGAGATCTTGACTGTGATATATGTTGCCTCAACCCAACTTCACTTTAATAGTTGGGTCTTTGTCTAAGCGTTTCATATCCTTTGTACCCACTCTAGTGTTGTGCCAACCTTCAATATTTTTTTTTTGTACAAAGCCTTCAAAAGGACATCCTAGGCTTCAAATAGTGGGGTATTAGGTTGAGCTTTGTTGACTTTATTTCAATCCTCACACAAACATCATAAGGACAAATTATTAAAGATCTGAGTTTAAAAATTCAATCATACTTTGATTGAGGGCTTTTATGTTATATTGAACTGTCAAGCCTCATTTTAAAAATTCCAAATGATGAGGTTGAACATTGTCAAATGCTTGAATGACTCAATCTTTCTTAGAATTTCGAGTAATAGATCTTAAAATGTACATAGGTATTTGTCTCTTCTGATTTGTCTTCTTTGTTTTTGATCATGTTGGTGTGTTAAAGGTCTTCTCTTACTTTTATTTACAAAAAAATGACATTATCCAAAGAAGAGATGATTAGATGATTACACGAAGCTATGGAAAAAGAGAAACAATCCCATAAGGAAGTGGTAGCTAATGGTAGTTCAGTTATGATACAAGTGGAAGATGTTTATTCAAGTTCAAAACATGCAAAGACTGATCTAAGATTTACTCGTAAGAGGAAGCTTGTACAAGGTGCCAAGCCCTTGATTACTATTGCGGGACTAGAGTAGTCGGATGGGCGTGTTAGTATTATGGTGCTTGATTTAGTCCCACATCGATTAGGATTGTGAGATGAGGTTCTCTATTTTGTTATATAAGCAACCCTATGTAAAGTTTGAGATACACACAGAAATAAAAATTACTTCCTAGTGTAGTCGTGGACGTAGGCATACATATTTTAGCTGAACCACGTTAAAATTCTTGTGTCGTTTATTTTTCTCTCCTTCATTCTTTCTTTTATTATTGTCTTGTTCCTAACAATTGGTATCAAGAGCCAATTTTCTTAGTATGCTCGTGGTTGCAGCTTTGTCTCGATCTTCCACATCGAAAAGATTTGGTCTTTTTTCTTGGGAATCTCGGCTTAGAGAAGCAGTGGGAGCTTTCTTCGAAAGCAGTGAGAGCAATGGCATTGGAAGAAGGAAAGGTGAGGATCGAGAAGTTCGATGGCGGTGACTTCGGGTTCCGGAAGATGCAGATGGAAGATTATCTCGTATCGAAGAAGTTGTATCTACCCTTGACAGGGCGAAGCCAA